TAATATTATTTCCTAGTATTCAATTTTAACTTATGTAGATAAAATGATGGATGGTACAATGAAAAGATTAAACAATGGCTTATGCTAAAATTGCTTATTTTCTTTTTATGCATATCAAATCGGTAATGAAAATTTTACTGATAATAGTAAATTATTGAATAATTCTCAATCATCACTCACCTCATTTAAAGTCTAATTTATTCGACTGAAATAGGAACGTATTCTATTTTTTTCAATAAAATAATTGCAATAAACAATTTGATGCATTTAATTTGGCTGAAATTTGATACTAAAATTTTTTAAATTTCTCAATAATTTTTTGCAGATTTTTAAATTACAATTACTTCCAAAAATTCATTTACAAATATTTTGGTTAAAAAAGAAGGAAAAGAAAAGCACAAAAAGTGTAATAATTTATTAATTGAATGAATTTAAAAATTGTCAAATGTCATTTTTACCTTTCGTTTCATTTTTTTTTTACCGAACTTTGATCAATTTTTTTGAACGTTGTTTTATAATTCGATTAGGTCAGAAATTTTCGAGCGGAATTTGCACTTTTTCATTAAATTTCATTAATTTCATAATTATTTTTCTTAGTTTCGAAGATATTTTTAATAAATTCAACCACTATTTTTAATTTTAACACACTCAAACACATACATGTGCAAATATACACATACACGCACACAAACACGCACATACATATACATACACTCACATGCACACACATACATACACACATACATGTACATATACATACGCATACATAAACATACAGATAAATACATACGCACACATGCATTTGCAAATTATATATATACAAACATGCAAGATTCTAGCAAAAAATTTCTGGTTTTCAATTTTTTGTTTTCCAATTTTCAATTCTCAAGTCTTTTCCGTTATATTTAGCTACATTTGTAAACTATAAACATAATTGATTGAGGAAAGAGACGAAGAGATTTCCATCAAAAAAGGATTAAATGAGATTTTAATTCTATTACAAAAATAACAAATTTCATTTTTTCTTTTCGTAATATCCTTTTTAAAATGAATTTAAGCGACGAAATTCAAATAGCAATCAAAGTTTTTCAAGAGCCAAGATATCAAATCTCAACTTGGCTTTCACGAATCATATGTGTACCATAATAAATTAGTCTAATATTATATTCCAAAGGCAAACACAAAAATGATTACTTTATCATTTGAATGACCTTTATTATTGATAAAATATGTCATATTTTAGTTATGTAGTGGTGACTGTAACATATCACTTAATCAATTTGCAATTTTTCACCCATGATACTGCGCTATCAGAGATTGCTTACCATATTTCAGAAAGTTAGAAGATCAAAGTGATATCATTTGAAAAAAAAATCACAGAAATAATTTCAGGTTATCAAATAGTGGTGAATTATTGGTGATAAAACAAGCTACAAACTGCAATAATATTTTAATGATTGATTTACTGTAGAAGTTAGTAATTAATCCAAATATATCAGTGAATAATATGATAATTAAGTATAAATTTTAGAAGTCAAAATCTTTCATACGTACTTTCTTCTCTTTCTATAGCACTATTAAATCGCATATTTCTACAAAACATTGTAATCGTATCGATTTTAATTGATTAAAGTGATAAAATTTTGACAAACGTATTGATAAACATTTTAACTACTGTTTTTTTTTAAAGGAATGGTTCAATCAATAAATGCATGATAACATTACTATTGAATATGATAAAGCAACTAAATATCGTAATCATAATTTAATCATTAATCTGCTGCAGAAGAAGCGACTAATTAATATATTAGTGAGTAAAGCAATTTCAAATAATACCTTCCCTAATGAGATTTCAAAATAATTTCAATCAATTTCTAAGCATAGGTATTAGTAAATAAGCATAGAATAAATTTAGCTAAAATGTGAAATTTCTTGAATACTTTTGTACATTGTTGAGAGAAGAAATGATTTTAGTCGTTTAGAATTCGATTACTTGAATATAAAAGAATACATACATAAGAGAATTTTATCAAAAATTCAGATCATCGAAATGTTTGGAGTTGTGTAAGTTATGACTTTCAGGAATTTATTAACTAATTATATTATTTCATATATATATATATATATATATATATATATATATATATATATATATATATATATATATATATATATATATATATATATATATATATATATATATTAT